ATTTGAAGCAAAAGAAAGATGGCTCTACAGAAGGATGATGCGAATGATCTGAACTGAAAAAATGAGCAACAACGAAGTTTTAGTGAAAATGAAAAAAAAAGGATACTTACACTAACTTCAGAAAGAGATTCTTGGATTCTTAGAGCGCCTAATAAGAACGAGGTCTGAAGAAATTTGGCACTCAACACGGAGAGAGGGGAGCAGTGCAGCCTCTAGTAAAGGAGTTTGTGTGAATAGGTGGCAGAACAGGGATTAAGTGACGTGGCAAAAAGATAAACATTACTAAGGCGTACAAAGGAGAGGAAATTGTAGAGAGCCTTGTTCGCCCACGTCCTGAAACGACATGACACATAGAAGAAGAATATGCCAATAACAATGATCGTCTACATCAGAATGGGTCCAGGTATTTAAAAAAATAATGCATAAAACTTCTTTGATTAATATAAGCAGTTTAATTTACTCTTCGATCAGCTGTCAAATCAAGCAGCTGTTATATGTAAATATCAACGAACTGTTATACAATATACTGTATACAGATAAAAAAAAACAGTTTTATCTTAAAAATGTGCCTTGTAATGATTTTGATTGAGGTGAAAGTTCAGTCTATTTAATATTAATATTATTTTTTAACTATTTTCCAAATATGATGTACATGGATTAGTGATATTTTTTGTTTAACGACATATCAATTCCTTATGGGTTATTTAATGCCGATAATTATTTTTCTGGGGAGCCTTGAAGTAATGAAAGTATGATATACATTATTCTGCTTTCACAATTGAATACATGGTAAATAATACCCAGATTTTATGCATATACATGATTGTGTGGACATAATTAAAATACGCGGTGATGTAATATATATATATATATATATATATATATATGCAATTTATTATATATGTTATTTATATATTATATATGCGCCGTAGTTATCTGAAAGCACTCAATATCAGTTTTTGCCATTTACATATCCTCATTGGCCAAAAACAAGCAAATAACCGGCTTTAAAATAATATCAAAAGAATTAAAGATAATAGCAATTTTTAGCTACCATAGTCTTACACAGATCCCATCATACGTATATACCTGTGTGCGAGAAAACATTATTCAGCGAACAAAATAGAGGAACGGTCTGCACATTGACACTGCAGCTGACGGAATATATTCGCCACACAATCCAACATTGAATAGAGCGATCACATGTGTACGTATGTACGCAACGACACTTGGATATGTATATATGCCCAGTCCCAAACTGTTCACATATGTTTATGTTTGAGCGTGTTCGAATAAGTGAGCGTGCGTGTATGTATGTCTGCGTACGTCAATGAGTGAACGTGCGTGTACGTATGTTTGCGTAAGTATTAGTGGCGTTCCGACGACAATGTTTCCTCCCACTTCCATAAAAACACCAATATACGCAACCATATATAAATCCAAAATTTAAAAATTAATCAGTTTGTCTGACGAACTCAAATAGCGTGAAACCCAGGATCACAAACTCAAATCAATCCAACTATATATATATATATATATATATATATATATATATATATATATATATATATATATGTGTGTGTGTGTGTGTGTGTGTGTGTGGCTTGATGAAAACATTTCAGGACTTTGTGGTTAGAGTAAATGGTTAACGCACAAATACATTTTGGAAAGTCAATCTCTTCATCGCCGGCCATTTTTTTTCAGATTAAAGTTGTTCATATTTTTCAGATTTGTTACGTATTCAATAAGTTATCTATGCATGTATTCACAGAAAAGATATTTCTATACACGGATCTTCCGTTTACATGTTAATTTGGTTTTATGAAATCTGGTTAAGCTAGGATCCAGTCAGACATTATTTCTAACCGAAAGATCAATTCTTCATTTATGCAATTATAGACGATTTCAGGACAAAACTAAAATTTGTCTAAAGAATGAGAAAAACAAGTTTTTAAAAGAAATCACAATCTATGGGAAATAATAAATTTCCGATGTATTTGCATCAATGAAGAATCAAAAGAAATATTCTAGATCGCCTTTGACTTCAGATTAAAAAAAATACCTGTATATGGCTTATTTTCTTCGAGTTCATCTCTTTCCCCTGTGTGTATATTAGAATTATTTTAGGGCAAGATGCATAGTATTTTGAAGTGAATATATACATTCGTTTGTTAAAATATAGTTTTAAAAGACTTTCTCGACGATTCTCTAAACAAGAAGATGGCGACATCCTGCATCAAGCTGAACGCTGCAAATAGTATGTGGGTGTTTTGAATTCGAAACGACATCGCAAAAAAATGAAAAAGATTAATAAAAAAAGAAAGAAATTGTAAAACTTTTAAATTTTCTTTTAAAGAATAAATCGTGTCAGTTGAGAAAATTTAGGGTTTTCTTAATGACTTATTGTGTTTTTCATTGTGCTGCGCATTGGAAAGAGATTAAGAACAATAAAATAAATCAAACTTTTACAGATAGGAAAACTGTAGGGAGAAGGAAAAGAAAATAGTTAGCTAAGAATGTTAGGGATTTAAAATTAATAGTGGAAAATAGAAAACGAAAATGAAGAACGTTTGAATAAAGAAAGAGGGGAAAAGCAAAGATAAATGAGAAGAAAAGAAAAATTAAGAAAAGAAACAAAAAGATAAGAATACAGAAAAAAGACTGGCAAAAAAGAAATAGACAAAAATAAATTTTAAGATTGTTGGTTGATTTTCAGTCCCAAAAGAAATCATATTGAAGCGCAAACCTGGAAATTATTTTCGAGTTTTTCAGAGAAACTCGAGTAAAATGGCTTCCATGTGCTCGACAAACGTACAAGTCGACAAACCTGGCGCCAAAGCGAGGCAGACTGTTTGCCACTATGATTCAATGTAGCCAGATCTTGAGAGGCTTATTAACAAAACTAGATTGAAAAAATATCTGTTAATTTTTTTTACATTTACACATTTCTTTTTATTTGCTCATTTTTCAATAATTTGCTTTCATTTTTTAAAAACATATCAACGTTTGGATATTTTTCTTGTTGTTCCAAAGTTATCCAAGCTCTGTTCATGGCTTTAATTAATTTCTAGGAAACGTTCATGAATTTAATGAAATAAATATTTTATGTTTTCACTGAAATGCACATTCTCATATTCCATATTATATCACGAGACATTTTACATTATATCGTTCTCTCTTTCCATTTTTTTCCTTCTTTCTTTCTTTTATTCTTTTTCATTCTTCTTCATTGTGACGTGTCCCTTGTGGACGTGGCTGATCATGGCGCTCCATAACGTTCAGTCATTTGTTGCCCTTAAAAAGATTTGTCTCACACTTCCGGTTTTACCAATCATTTTCATAAACTTCCTAGGTTGGTGATTTGCTGTTTTCCACAATCTTGCCGTCATTATATCTTGTGAGAGTCTAATTCTCTAAGTCTTCTTGCCTCATTATGTACCCTATAAATTCAAATTATCGGGTTCTAGTCCGATGTATCAGAGTTATTCTTGTTTCTATTTTTCTCGTTAATCAAATATTCACTTTATGGTATTCTCATCATCCTTCTGTAGAATCACATTTTTTATCTCAAGTCTGTTCTTCCTCTATGATGAGATGATTCAGCATTCGCTGCTAAGTAGGAAGACCGATATAACAATAGTTCACTATTATATTCTTTGTTTCTAACGAAATTTCCTTGTTTGTTATTACTTTTCTCAGATTTTTGAAAGCATCTTTCACTATTCAAATGTTCTTACGGATTTCGGTGTTGCATATTCGGTCTTCTGTTAAGATACAGGGTTTCCTAAAACATTGACATAATTTAAAAAGTGAATATCTGCATGTCCCAGGCAAACGAAATTAAATAGGCATTATGAAAATTCGAGCAAGATATTAAAAGGCTGTGATTTTAGAACCGATTTCAAAACGCTTCACAAATTTTCAATAAGCGACACATGTCAAATTGGTAGAGTCAAGATCCCCCACCCCAAACCCGCTGCAGGATGTCTTGTGTCATATTTTCCAGCGCCTGTAGTTCCTCTAGAATTGTAGGAAGAAATAAACATAAACCAGGTCTTTCATATAGCTCCATAGAAAAAAATCACAAGGCGTTACTTCAGGTGAAAGTTGTGGTCAATTTGAACAGCAAATTTGTCCTTATCACTGGCCCGATCCATCATCCTGGCAGAAGCTTATTGAAATAAAGCCGCACACTTAACATAATCAGATTTTACACAATTTATTAAAGTTCGAGATCATTTGAGCGAGAACTGATCATGTTATTAGACAACAAAACTATGTCAATTTATTTAGGACACCCTGTACTTCTTAAATATGTACAATATTGTAATTGCTTGATTTTAGTGCCTCTAAATAATATATCGAGAGAAACCAAGACAAGTGAGCTGGATTCCAAACCGATAGCAATAAACTTTTAGGGTAATGAATGCCGGAGCATGTCTCCATGGATGAGGAAAATCTAGAGGCAGTGGAAATGTGGTTATGCAGAAAGATACTGAAAATTCCATGGACGCCAGGATGGAGTCTAAAAGAAAATACCATGGACTGAAGGATGGAGTATGAAAGAAAATTCCATGGACGTCAGGATGGATTATGAAAGAAAATTCCACGGACGGCGGGATGGAATATGAAAGAAAATCCCATGAACGACCGGATGGAATATGAAAGAAAATTCCATGGACGGTGCGATGGTTTAGGAAAGAAAATTCCATGGACAGCTGGATGGAATATGAATGACAATTCAACGAACGGCCGGATGGAGTATTAAAGAAATTCCATGGACGGCGAGATGGAGTTTAAAACAAAATTCCATGAAAGGCGGGATGAAGTCTGAAAGATAATTCCATAGACGGTGCGATAGATTTCAAAAGAAAATTCTATGCACGGTGCGATAGATTCGAAACAAAAATTCCATGGACGGCGCTATAGTGTATGACAGACAATTTCCTGAACGGCTGGATGGAGTATGAAGGACAATTCCATGGACGGCGGGATGGAATCTAAAAGAAAAGTCCATGGAAAGCGGGATGGAGTCTGAAAGATAATTCTATGGGTGACGCGATGGCTTCTAAAAGAAAATTATATGGAAGGTATGATGGTGTCTGAAAGATAATTCTATGGACGGTGCGATAGATTCCAAAAGAAAATTCCATGGATGGTGCGATAGATTCTAAATGAAATTTCCATGGACGGCGCGATGTTGTATGAAAGACAATTCCCTGAACAGCTGTATGGATTATGAAAAAACAATTCCATGGACGGCGGGATGGCGTATGAAAAGAAATGACAACGGAAAGAACCGTTTCTCTATGTTGGTTGATTTTGTTCGACTGTATATCAGCCTCAATGTGTTATTTAATGTTGAAATTTAAATATTTTTTACTTTCAACTACAAATGATTTGTTCATAATTTTATACTTTCTGGGAAAAGGTCTGTTTTTTTTTTTTGCATATTCATACTTTGTAGATCATAAATTGTATTGTTGTTAATTTTACTATAAAGTGTATTTTGACAGTTTTTTCGTGTTGCATTCATTCAAATTTTGCTAAAGACATTTATTGTTGCTCATTATATTATAAAAATGTACCGTTGATTTTTATTTGGGCAGTCATTATTTGACCATACCTGGGACATTAACTGGTTCTACAGCCTCGGGTCAAAGTGGAACATCAGCACTTATGAGGTGGTTCGACGCCCCTTAAAATCTCAAATCTCTCGATAAGATCATAAAATGTATTGTTGGAATTTTACTATAAAAAGGCATTTTTATATTGTTTAATGTTGCAATGATTGTCACTTTGCTATATTGCTGGTCATTTGAAGATAGAAATGTATAATAAATTTCACTATTTATGAAAAGGTATGATTTTTGGATACATATAATTTGTAGATCATAAAATGAATTTTTGGAAATTTTACTATAATAAATGTATCTTTAATGTTGCATTGATTGTTCCATTGATGTAAAAATTGTAATTTATTTTCTCATAAAATGAACTTCTACTTTTTGTTTGTGGTTTCCCTATTTGCACATTGCTTGTATCCTAAACAGTGCCACAATCCCGGGTTAAGGTGAACAACAAGATTTAAAAGGATTTTTCCTCCCTTCTCAAAACCTTCTTACTCTCGATCAGAAGCCTTGCTTCCGGATGTTGTTTATCGTCAAGCTTTCGTATTATTTTCCTTACTTGTTAATTAATATATATATATATATATATATATATATATATAATTTTGTTTAAGGTTACTACTCACAAATTTTCTTTGTACGAAAAATTACATTTGAATTTGAATAAACATTCTTTTCCTCTTCGTTCTTACGCCAATGGAGCAATAATCACAAAAAATATTCGCTAAATTTCAGTATAAAAAAGAAGAAAATTCAAAAAGTCGATTAACGAAAATATAACATTGACTGGTTAAATCTATTAGTGCCAAGATTTCGCGGTCAAAAACTGACTGGGAAATTAGATTTCCCAATCAGTGTCAACTCTCTTTGACAAGAAGACAAAAGTTGAAGCAAAGAAGAAAAATTAAGAAATAATAATAATAATAATAATAATAATAATAATAATAATAATAATAGTAGTAGTAGTAGTAGTAATTTTCGCCGACACAAATTCAATTTGATTTCAGAGAAACTAAAGTTTCCTTTTTTTTAAATTCAGGGTAACGTATTGCAACACTTTTTTTGTGAGTATGTGAAGTCATTTAAATAAAAGGAAATATACAGATCATATGACAGTGGATTTTGAACCGAACTCATTTTTTTGGCATTATATCCATTGCCAATAAAAAATAGAAACCGATAGACTAGTATGTTTGTATAGAAAGAATATATTAACTATATTTTAATATAGTAAATATGCTCTTTGTATACAAACATACTTGACTATATAGAACGCATTAAAAAAAAACTGAGCAATAATGAATCGATTGCTGGCTCCACTGAGTGATACATTCGGAATCTTTCCCTTACTGTTGTCTTCTTCTTCTTCTTCTTCTTCTTCTTTGTACCGTCAGGTCTTTGGCACTCATGGCAGTCCACAAGTGTTTTGTAGCTCTTAATAAATATTGTCATCTCTCTTTAAACGCTGATCTGACTCCCATTTACTCACTTTCGGTAAGCAGGTTCTGTGTTGTGTTCCTTTGTCCCTCAGTCTGCGCTGTGAATAGGGAGTAAGAAGAAAATGCTATAGCTAATCTTTATTGGGGCAGAACATCACTACCGGAATATACAGTCGTGTACGGAAACATCAATTCATAGCAGTCATCTGGTGTAAATATGGAATTGGAAGAAGAAGAAGAAGAAGAAGAAGAAAGACGAAGGAGAAGAAGAAGATAGAAAAGAAGATATACAAGAAGAAGAAGAAGAAGAAGATGTAGTAGTAGTAGAAGAAGAAGATAGAAAAGAAGAAGATCTACAAGATGTAGTAGTAGTAGTAGTAGAAGAGGGAGAAGATGTAGAAGAAAAAGAAGAAGATAATATATAATATATAATAATAATAATAATAATAATAATAATAATAATAATAATAATTTTTTTTTTTTTTTTTGTCAGTGGAAAGTGTCATGACGCCATTTCTAACTTTAGGTCCCTGGGCGGGAACCGGAAAGAAATGTGTAAACGCCAGAAATCAAAGAAAATAAAAAAAATAATAATAATAATCATCGCTTGAGTGTTGCTTTTTACTATGTAATTCTCTTCATCCGTGTATTTCTTGACGCTTATACAGTATGGACATAATTGTAAAAAAAAAATATATATATATATATTATTGTGATGTTTGCAACAGATATTACTCTAATATTATTCTTCTAATAAAAGAAAATACGATATCATCACAACAAAATATATTTAATTATAAATTAAACATAACCAGGCGTATAATAAATAATCTTGTTTAAGATTGCTTCCAGTTTGCTTTCTTGTATTGGAGTGTGGGTGGCGTAGTGGGTAGCGGCTTGATAAAAGGAATCGAAGAGACGTGTTCGATTTCTAGTCGTACTTATTGCATACTCTTACGAGTAAATGATATTCAGCAAAGTAGGAATGCAACTCCCTGAACTATGGGTTAAATATTAGGACTTGAAACCGAAAAAACTCTTTTTTATTCTTAAAATATTGTTACTGGTATACCGTATCTAAATTAATTGTTCTTACAATCTAAAATATATTTTGGCTTTAAATAACTCAAAAAAGATTGACAAGCCGTAAAAATCAAATCACATCAAATAACGTCCTTTTTATTTTTATTTTTTTACTTTTAATTATTTAAAAAGCTGGTTTATTACGTGCAACAAAGTAATTAATTATTTAGATAAAGTTTTAGATTATTAGTGTAGAAGATTTAAGCAATACCATTGCAAAATTATTTCAAATAATCGATTATTTCTTGACGATATCGTTACTCTAGTCCGATCCTGATAAATAAGGTAAATGAAACCCATGACAATGCAGGTATATCACTTTACCAATATAGTTATAGACGCAAAATAGTAGTTAGAAATAAAAAAAGAATATTATTTCTTGACGATAGAGTTAAAAAGTCTTATCCTGATAACGAAGGTATATAAAACCCATGTTTCGCTATGCAGATATATCTGTTTACCAATCTAGTTATATACGCAAATTAGAAGTTAGAAATAGAAAAAAAATAGAAAATAGAAATTCCGGAAACATAGATTTTGGTCTGTACGGAGAATATTTTCACATTTTGAAGAATATTGTTCTAAATTTTATCCAACTTTTGAATTCTTATTAATACGTGTTTTTTTTTATAGATTCGGAAGACAGATGGCTTTACTATACACCACCCTTAAAAGAAAAAAGAACAAGATCGTTAACAGAATGTGTTGTATTTCAAGTGGAAGAAACATGAAAAGTGCCATAGATATTCTTAATTGGGGAAGAACATCAAAACAGAAATGTAGACTCTTGTACGGAAACGCATGTGCATCAATTTGTAGCAGTCATCTGGTGTAGATATGCAATGAAGAAGAAGAAGAAGAAGAAGAAGAAGAAGAAGAAGAAGAATGAAGAAGAAGAAGAAGAAGAAGAAGAAATTCTGGTTAAAGAAGCAACTGATAAATGCGTTTAGTTGTTTTGTAAGTAGATTTCATTTTCATATCTACTGCGCAAGTTTACTACCAAACCGTAAATGTCTTAAACATAGGTTACGTGTTGTTCTTCAATTTCTTTGTTCCGTGTCCCTTCAGAACGTAGGGGATTATTATTCTCCACGATTTCCTATCCTTTGAAGCTCTTAATAAAATTTACCTTTTTGTTATTTCCATTGTTCCACCATCCATTTTACTCATGCTCACTAATTAGGTTATGCTTTGTTTTCCTCTGTCCATGTTGCCTTTAATCTGCCCTGTGAGTATCTAATTTTCCAATCTCCCTTTCCTCATTATGTGATATAGAAATTTCAACTCTTTATTCTTACCATGAAAAAAATAGAGTATGAATGGAAAAAATATTGCCCATTATTAGTTGAATATTAGTAATGCTTCCAATTCGTCTAGTTAGAGTTTTTGCGTGAATTAGAGAACAAGGAATTGATTAAAAAATTTCACGCATCAAGAAGTCGTGGAACTGACAAATGCGCCGCAATGGAGACGTATTTTTACTTGGCCTTAATAATAATAATAATAATAATAATAATAATAATAATAATAATAATAACTAGCTGGATCCATTTCTTAACTTTTTACATGAAAACATTTCTAGAAAATACAGAGGAAATCCAAGTAAAAGGTGGAAAAGTGACTTAATGTGCTAGCTCAGGACTTAAAACACTACAAACTCTTCTTTGGATTTTCTCGAGAATAATAATAATAATAATAATAATAATAATAATAATAATAATAATAAAGTAATTCTATGTGAACTTGACACCAAAATTAGACAATTCCATCTACAGAAGTCATGATTGTGATTATATATATATATATATATATATATATATATATATATATAATTATTTAAAAAAAATATGATTCCTTCGCTACATAAGATTTCTCATGTTTCAAAAACTAGAGCCGAAAACCTCAATATAATTATTAAAATTAAATTGAGTTAAAGTATCAAGCACTTTTTCATCCCCAAGCGAAAATTTTAGAATAAACAATCTTGAAATTTACACATCTTTAAAAGTATGTTTATTCGCAAAATTACTTACTATAGAAACGGCTGGGGCGAACATTTTGGTAAGGGGTCTAAGAGATAATTTTTATCGACATATCACTCTTATGTAGCGAAGGAATCATATGTTTTTAAAAAAGAATTATAATTTAAGCTCTACTTCTGTATGGAGCACTGTTTTTTTTTTAAATAAAAACAAAAATTCTATAGAACTCTGGATTATTTACCTAACGTTTTCTTTCCTATCTTTCTATATATATATATATATATATATATATATCAAAAACAAGACTTGCTATATCGTGAATCTCGGTGAGAAAGTGAAAACTAAAGGAGACTGGACATTTGAAAATACCCGGATCTTGGTTAAGAGCTAAGAAAATTTTAATGTATGAGGGTCAGTGTTTGTCCCACGATTTTAAGCGCACTTAGAACCGCGTCGAAATAAACAATATTTAAGATTGTATGCAATAGAAATGCGAGGAATACACAAAACATGGAATTGCTGGTGTCTGCGAATATATTGTGACAGGCAATGGAAATTTGAAAGAATTTCCTGTCATTCAATGTTCAAATTTATAAGGTGGAAAAGTACACAACATTACAAAAAATGAAAACCAACATTCCATTTAAAATCAGTCCAAAGTAACTAAGAAAGACCATATCCAAAAGTGAGTGTTTACGAGATATATGTAAAAGACAAACTTTAATCAGAGTTACAATGCATAAAAAAATGATTGCCCACGACCTGAATGGACAAGGCACGAGAAGAAGAAGAAGAAGAAGAAGAAGAAGAAGAAGAAGAAGAAGAAGAAGAAGTGTTAAAACAAAAGTTTAGGCCAGGATTTCCCAAGCTCGGCGATATCACCCACCAGTGGACGATTTCAACTGTTGGATAGGCTTTGAGGAACTGAACAGAAAATGTAAGGTGATTGAAATTTTTGGCGCGTGATGTCGTATTTTGAGTATGAAAGCAATATATTTCAACATATGCTACCTTAAAAATATTCAAAAGATTTATGCAAAGAACGTGTATAAATGAAAACAGAAAACAGTAGGTTAAGTGGAATTAACAGGGTCACATTCCTAGATAAGATATAAGTAACCCCGCAAACAATGAATGTTTTGGCAATGGTCTGGAAATTGTGGAGAGACATGAACGTCTACGTCCTGAAGGGACACGACACACAGAAGAAGAAATGACGAGAGACCAGACGGTCTGAACCGTCTGTTCACAGAAGCCAATTTTACTTCACAAATAAAAATTAATTACAGTTCCACTGATTGGAGATCAAAAAGCTTAAGAACTATGCCAGGTGTAACAGTAGATTATCCTATTATAATTGTGCTTGTTAGCACAACCGATACGTCTTGTCAATACTTCATGAATAATGGCCTATTCCGCACAGGAAAAAATGAAAGAAACAAGAGAAGAGAAAAGTGACGGGAGAGTGAGAAAAATCAGATTCATCTGATAAGAATATGCGAAAACGATGGTGACCACTAAAAAAAATGCTATTTTTAAGACGCGCTGTATCGAAAGACGAAAACCGAGTAAGACAATCGGCAAAAATCTAATTACCGTAAATTAAATATACTCACATCGCTTACTGAATTAATTGAAAATTCTTATAAAGAGAAATGTTCGCAAGGCGGGGATTTATACGGTGATATGTCCCGGAAAAGTGATCTATTTGTTCGAAGTAGCAAAGTGGTTGTTGACTACTGTAACCGGGTAGGACAATCTAGCAGGTAACCGTAATGGACTGGTCCTCGTCGTAGTGGTAGGCAATAAGCGTACGCAATAGGCGAAGATAATAGGCGTAGCCATTAGGCGTCGTCCTGTACCTCCACATCAGTCTGTATTTATGGCTGACACCAGCCAAACATATTACTGTGAGGGGGAACCCAGGTGTATACATATTCATTAGATCATACAGAAAGAAAAAAATAAGGAAAGATAAAAGTGTTTAATTTTCTAGTGCATTCCTTCAGAAATACGTAATGGACGATTCCCTTTTTATCGCGTGGGAAGAAGGGAAAATACATTACTTGATTTCAGTGAGAAAACGAAAGAAAGAAGAAAGATATCTTTAACAGCTGTTTCCGTCCAATTGCTAAAGTTTTCATTTTCAAATCTTTTCATTTTTACTTTCTTCTTACGATAACGACCAGCATCCACATTGCTATTGTAATATTTTGTTAAATGTTGCTCTAATATCTAACGATGCGATAATGGAATTTTTACGGATATTTTATTGCCACAGAACTTCTGAGAGATTATTCAATCATTAACTCAAGTGTAAAGAATTACTACTCAACAGAAAATTTAAATGGGAAAACCATAAAATGTTTCCGGGTCTTTCTAGTTTATTATTATTATTATTATTATTATTATTATTATTATTATTTCTGCTATGGACACACTACCTACCAAGTCTGCGGAAAGACCTAAGGCAGGTCATGGTGTGTTGTTATAGCCACATTTCATGTTTTTTTTTTTTTTTTTTTTTTTTTATCTCCGATGAAGTTGCTAGCGTTACATAGACAAAGTTCTCCTTAATTGTGTAAACAATTTTCTGTATGTCTCTTAAGCTGGGGTTTCAGGATTCTTTCAATGTGTTGTTTTGTTCCATTTTTTATAATTCCAAGTGCACCTATTACCACTGGTATTATTCTTGTTTTCAATTTCCATTTTTTCTATTTCAATTTCCAGGTCTTTGTATTTTGATAGTTTTCAAATTCCTTGGTTGCTATGTTACAATCCGCTGGACAAGCCATATCAATTAGTAGGCAAGTTTTTTCTTTCTGGTTTTTGACAATAATGTCCGGCCTATTTGCTTCAATTTTTCTGTCTGTGTGGATGGTATAATCCCATAGAATGGTGACATCTTCTATTCTTAACCGGCGCTGGCCGATGTTCATACCAGTGTTTGCTTACACATTTTCCAAAGTGTTTGCACATTGTCCAGTTAAGTATTATCTATTGACGATTTTTATATTCATTTGGGGCAAGTATAGAACATCCTGAGATTAGATGGTCTATTGTTTCTTGGTATTTGTCACAGAACCTGCATTTTGAATCCACATTATTATGTATGATATTTGCCTGAAAATTCCTAGTGAAATACTCTGGTCTTGCGCTGCAAGAATAAAGCCTTCAGTTTCAGACTTTAATCCAGATGCTCGGTATTAACTTTATCAACATTGGGTTTATTTGCACGTTCTGGATATTGGAAGGTTTGTCTTGCCAGCGTTGTTTCATCTGTTCAAGGCTTTATCCTTGGCTTTCTTTTTCATATCTTTTGCTGCAATAGTTGGTTCTTGGCTTCTGTTTTGATTTACTACAGAATCTACTAAATGTAAATGTTGTTTGTATTTACTGCCTTCTTTTATTATTGAATATTTTTCTTTCTGTTTTCATGTTGTTTCACTAATTTTATCATCCAGTCATTTGTTGTTTCCATGTAAGTTAGTAAGCCAATAGTTGTTGTCTTGTATGACAATTCTAGCTGAATAAGACCTCTTCCACCTTCTTTACGGGGTATGTATAGACGGTCTACATCAGCCTTTGGATGATGCATCTTATACTTATTATTATTATTATTATTTTATTTTCTTTGATTTCTGGCGTTTACATATTTCTAAGGTTAGAAATGGAATCATGACATTTTCCCTTGAAAAAAAAAAAAAAAAAAAGAAAATTATTATTATTATTATTATTATTTTCTTTGATTTCTGGCGTTTACGCATTTTTTTCCGGGTCCCGCCCAGAGACCTAAGGTTAGAAATGGCATCATGACACTTTCCATTAACAAAAAAAAAAAAATACATAGATAAAGCCCTTCGTAAAGTGTGGGCTGTACTTGTGAGAACAATTTTTTGTATCTCCTTGAGGCATGGACTTCCAGGAATCCCTTCAATTAGTCTACTGCAATCTTTTCCAACCAGTCCTAGGGCTCCAACTACAACAGGGATTGTTGATGTTCCCATATGCCACATTTTCGAGATTTCTATTTCAAGGTCC